CAACGGAAAAAAATAAAATAGAACAAAAAATTTTAACGCTTTATTTACTCATTTTATTTGGTATCAGTTTTCTTCAAGGTACAGGAATCATTGGAATTCATTGCTAGGGTTCCTGCTTATAAAATTTACCTCCTCTTTTAGACACTTTTTAAAGAAAAAACTACTGTATCACAAGTGAGTATTTTGTTGGAATGATTCATTACTTTGCGATTGCATTTGCTACTACATCTGGGTCAACCTCCATATACTGCATTGCTTTAGCTTTGCTGTTAGAGGAAAGCAAAATGGTTTGCTATAAAAGTACCATGCATAAAACATACAAGACATAGTTTACAAAGTCTGATGTCTGTACGTTTGAACACCAAATTATTATCACAACTATGCCCGTCACAAAAACAAATTTTGCCATACGATAAATTGTCCCAGAAGTTATTGCACTAAATGATAATATCGTTATTTTAGGAGCAATTTCCAGTAATATACTAGTAATGGCAAAATAACACAAAAACAAATTCTCAAAGATCAATAAACTTTAGATTCTTATGAACATTTAACACTGGAACTGAAAGACATTTTAAATATCTAAAGTGAGTTAAACAACAAAACTTGTCCTTCAAAAAAAAAAAAAAAAAAGGGCGGGGGGCTAGTTAAGACCAATGCACCAGACTGAAGACTTTTGTCATCCAGCGTTTGGTAGAAAGAAAGAGAGAGAGAGGGAGAGAGAGAGAGAAAAGACAAAAATAATCATGCAAGTGAAAATTAGAGTTTGCTTTAATTTATCACGCAATAAGTTGGAGAATTAACAGAAGCTAAACAGCATACTTATTTTAAAAGGACTTATGCTGCATTTAATTCAGTTGTTAGGACTTTTTGGTTGCATGTTGTGAAAGCACTAGTCGCCACAAAAAGGGATTTAGTTCAGTTTCTAAACCTTCTGCAATCAGATTGGCTTGATAACCATGTTAATATCATAAACTGTATTTGAGTTTATGTGGTTAATAATGGAAATGTAGTTCACTGCGCTGGGCTAATCTAAGGGAAACCACAAGCACTTAGTACACTCAGTAAAAAAGAAAAAAAAGAAAGTCATTTGTCGTTTCCGCTCTAAACTGAACTTTCTATTGCTCATTTCAGTGTTCATGAAAACTTCTGAATTTTGCATGGGAGGGCCTAAGGCAGGACATTTTTGAAACAATGTACTCATGTGCTGCAGATTAGTACCTATTTAGTAGTAGGTATTATAGTGACCTCTGACATTTGCATGTTTTGTACTGCACTTATGAATTTTATACATCCAGCAAATTACAGCTACTGTTGTTGTTCTGGGAACAGCTTCTGAAGTTGACAGTGATAAGCCTGACAGAAATGATTCTAATTCAGTAACTTCAACGTTTGAACTGTTATCTGATACTGATATTCACTACTATTAAAAGTGGTTTGAAGTCACACATATCTTTACTGTAAGTTTTGCTACAATGATCTGTCTAGTAATTTGAAAAAAAAAATTAAAATAAAAAAAAGTTATTTTTTTTTCTTTCAAAATTCACTCAGCTCACTTAAATACATTTTGTTACAGCTGGCCCCAATTTGTGTTCCCTCTTTAAAAAAACTTCCTGGATAGCAGTTTTAAGGAGCTATTGAATATAGACATTAACATTGAAGGAGTGGTACCTTTCATTATATCAATCATTTTAAATCTAATTTAAAAACCCAGTTAAATGCAGCAGGTTAACACACAAAGAAGGATCTTTCTTAATTCAAACAGTTTTGCTTTCCTTCCGTCATCTCTGTGCCACAATCTACTCAGCTTCAAATGCAACACAATAATTGTGCTGTGATGTCAAGTCGAGCAGCCAACAGAAATACAGAGACCTGTTGAGGAAAGCTGTACCATGGAAACAGATTTAAATCCTAAACAATTCAGCTCCCTTCTGTCACCTGAAGTATCTGCTCCAAGACCAACACAACTACTTCAGACTTTGGTCACAACGTTGTCGGACACGAGTGAAATCAGCGCACTACATTGCACGAGCTTTTCATTGTAAATGCAATGACGTTTTTTATTGTACAATAATTTCTGTCGGTACTGTCCGATGTGTTTTTGCAAACACTGCTTATTTGCAACGTAAATTAGGAGGAATGGGATACCCCAATCTTGTGCCCAAGGGAAGCAATATAAGAGAGTTTATTCTACATTAAATAGAACAGCTTGAGATTGATCAAAATATTCTATTTCTTCATTGCTACATTTCTCCATCTACATCTCTCTATCTGAAAGAGAACATTTTAAATTTATTGTCCTGTTTTTCACATGTTACATAACAAAAGCCACTGTTTTTCGCAGAATGGGTTTTGTTTGCAAAGTGGACGTGTGCTTCAGCAAGGGGAAGGAGTTTTCAGAAGTGGGTCACCCAGGGAATCAGTTGTGAAAGAACCGCCTTTGATTATCAAAAACAATATCAGTAAACTTTGAATTAGGTGCATCATTTCAGTATGTTAAAAAAGGAATAGAAGAACCTCTGAGATTGCATGCCTTATTTGGTTTATCATCCTTGTTGTAGGGTGTATTAGCATATTTACAATGGTGCCAGATATACGTGTATGATTTCTGACTATAGAGGTCTGTTTCAGTAAACATTTAGCAAAAGCAGAAAGGAAATCGCTGATAAGATGCCTTGCATGGTCAAATGTTCTTTCCTGATACAGAACTATACAGGCTTGTCCTATATATGCACAACAGGAAGTCAAAGAGGAGTTAACAACCCAAGCAGGCATGCACATTCACTTCAAAGCATACATCAGCACTGAATAATTCCTACAGTACTGAAGTTTCATTACTGTTACAACTCAGTAGATTTGCCATACAGTGACACTGACAGGAGATATAACCACTGGAGTTAGGTCATCACGTGTAACAACACAAAGCCTCGTGGTTTTGACAGCAAATGTGGCTTAAAGTGGAACATCAAAGAGTCGACGGGGGGGGAAATAAGTGTGGATCATCATCAAGGCATTAGACGATTTGACTTACCGAGTGATTGATTCCCCACATGAGTACGCTTAGCAGAGGGTCGCTGGCACGGAAGAGCTTCACTTTCTGAGCGACGAAGTGTTTCTTCTTCGTCTTCGTTTTGCTCGCAATAGATGCGGCGATGCTGGCCGCCGAAGCCATGTTTCAAGCAAACTGGGTGGTTGCTGCAGTCCGTCCGATGGATGATGTGTAGAGAGCGTCTCCGCTTGAAGCTGGCACTGTGGCCTCACGATGTAGTAGTGTTAACACTATTCATTTAGCCACCTAACAAACCGAATGGGCCGAGTGTTCTTTTAATGCCAGGTACAGTTTGGGTTCCGTCTTAAGAAAGGATGAGACGAAGCTAACAATGCTGCTCTCCTGCACCTAAAGCCGTCCTCCGCCTCCCTCAGCCCACATCAACACTCTTCCTTCCTCGACTCGTCTGGAACCCTCACTGAGCTGGCGTTAGCATAGCTAGCTACACGGGACAGCAAGCACTAAGTATTAATATAGTAAAATAATAAATATAAACACTGACAACTGGAGAAGGGTAAATTCCCGTGGGAAACGGCGAACAAGCTAGGTTTTATCTGCAAAAGGGAAGATTAATATGACAAATGAATGACGCTAAACGACTAACCAGGCAAACAGCTATAGTCCTTCCGACCTTCGGTGGCCATATGACGGTACAAAGCAGAAGCAGGCTCCGCCGCTCACTGCCGCTTCGCTACCGTTAGCTCGCAAGCTAACCAGCGCTACGACTAGCCAGCTTTCAAGGTCCTCCTACGCGTTTGTAATCAGTCCGTAGAGATGACAGGGGCGTTTCCTGTCATATCCATGCGCTGTTCGAAATAAAACACCGACCAGCAGATAATACGACGTTAATGTCCACCGGAGGTCAGCTCCAACTCCGCAGCACTGATGTTCATGTGTGCTGCTGTCAAATGACAGCTCGACGGATGGGAGGTGACAGTCCGAGCCGTGCAATGTCTGCTGCTGCGCTGATTCGCCGCACCGCCCTCTCTCCTCAGTCAAGCTTCCCCTGTCTTTCACTAGCACATACCAGTTTTTATATATATATATATAGTCCTAAATTAAAATTAATGTTTAACTACACACCAAACATTCAACATTTAGTGCTTTGTTTTCTATACAGTTTCAAGCTTTTGTTTAAATGGTGATGCATCAGCAGAATCCCACAGGACATTCCCAGGATGAGATAAATCACAGGCTCTCTTTTCAGGAAGCAGCGCGATAATGTCCCTCACTATCAGAGAGGTAATGTCTGTAGAGGTCATTTCGTTTTCTGGTGCATACTACGCTGTTTCCACTGGCACATTGCTGTGTCAGTACCTCTGTAAAAGCTGGAGGCCTCAATGTGCTGATGCTGTTTAGACCTCATTTGTTTTATGAGTCACTCTTCATAGCAGCACATTTAAAACCTGCCTCCCCTGTTGCCTACGCAGGTCAAGTCACCCTCCTTTTTTTTTTTAAAACAAATCACACAAACAAATGATTTCTCAACGTTTGCCTCAACATGCATGCATACTTTTGTTAATAATCACAATAACGGGTTCCTGTACAATCTGAAAACAAAATTGATTTACATTATTTTTATTTACAGACTTTATCCCATGATATAAAAGTTCCATCCATCCATCCAGCCAGCCAGCGAGCCAGCCAGAAACCTGTGGGTGCGCATGCAGCCACCAGCATTAAATCTATAGTCAACTTTCTTGCGTTAAAAATTATGTCAAATAGTCTCATAACTCTGGGAATTGACGTCAGGAATTTTTAGACTCATAACTTTACAAAACGAAATCAATCGTACCGTATCACCATTAAGCCTGCATAAGCATGCCAACATTGTTTGTTGTGTGAGGTATTATGTTTAAATACTAACCTTCCTCTTACCGAAATGAATATTTCAGCCGCTATGCCTGCCTGACCTGGGTTGCCTAGCAACTAAGTGTCAACTTCCTTTTTTTCAGAATGCACGTTCAGCTTACAGGCTGGTCGATTTATTGTTCTAATTATAAAACCTATAAGGTCAATAGAACATCCGTCATAGTGGTTTGTTGGCTACTTCAGGAGTTGGTTTTTATAGTGCAATAGTCGGCTACAGGTTAGCTAAACAGTTTACCTAACTATTGTGCGACCTAAGTGTGTTAAGCAGCATTTGAACAGCTGTTAGCTGTTCTTTAAACAGCAAAATGGGAAAGAAGACGGGGAAGGACAAGGAGAAAGAGGACAAGGACGCGGTATGAAACCCACCTTATAACTTATCCCATTTAATAACTGTTATTTAAAACAAGCAAACAATAAACAAAAACAAACAAACGAACAAATAAAAACAGAAACTGATGGCTATTTTTGATCACATGGATGACCTGTCGGTACCCCTAATTACGATGTAAAAAAAAAAAACAAAACAAACAAAAAAAGAAAAACAACAGCCTATAACCTATATTATTTGAGTGATGTAGCATAATCTTAACTTAAAATGCATTAAAAAAAGCGTGCATTTAAGCCCACGTTCTGTATTCAGTCGTTAAATATTCTCATATAAAGAAATATCTGTTTTAGGAGAGTCACAGTTATTTATTATTATTTCTTGGTAAGCCTTCTCTGACTTATGATTTCTTCAAATTGATCTGAGTTTGCTTGAACATTTAGCTGGTACTAATCCAGCTTTTTATATTTTTCCAAGTGGTCACTGTGTCATGCTGTAAATAAACAGCATGACACAACAGCAGTGACCAATTTCTTTTGCTAATATATGCCACTATAGTAAACATAATGGTAAAGGAGGTTAAAAAAAAAACAAACTCACTGCTATAAAACTACAACAAAGAGTGTGATCTTTGGGACATCAAGTCTAACAACCAGAATGCGATATCTGAATCCCAAATGGGTGTTCTGAATTGATGGGGCATAAAATCCTGCACACTTTGTTTGAATGAGATTACAATTGACCTTTTCAGCATCAAACACTGCAGATGGGTTCTGTTGTGAAACAAAAGATTAATATACAGAAAGCGCCTCATCCCCACTGTTAGATATTGTGGAGAATCTGTGATGCTGTGGGTCTGTTTCCCTTCCAAAGACCAATTAAATTTTTTAGACTTTCATCATGAACTCTACAAGCTCAGAAGAGAAAACTGGTGACCTCTATCAGAAACCAGAAAAACTCAAAGATTATTTTCTATAAAATGTTCTTAGAGGAGACAAAGTGATCAATAGAGGGCTGTTATTGCATTGGCATCAGTAATTTTGACACTGATAGTCACTGATATAAAGAGTTATTTTTAAAATGGATGCATGTACATCCCTGAAAATATGCGTTCCAATTTAATATTTTTACTTCTTTTTTTTTTTTTCCAAAAAGAACATTTTTGTTTCAAAAAGTTTGTAAGAGTACATGTTACTATGTTAAAAAAAAATATTTATTTTCAGGTATTTTTCTCCTTTTTTTCTACAACATATTCCTCCACATATACACATTATGTTTTTTCTTCTTTCTTTTGTTTGTCATAGTAATTCTGTCTTTCTCTGTTGGCACTCAGTTTGAAACTCTGTCTCTAGAAAGTAAAGCCCCAGGAACGGTGGTGTTGCTCTTAAGCTCTCAAGAAGAAGACATTCTGCTAAAAGCAAGTGAAGCAATCCAAAAGTTTGCTGAGAAAGGTAGAAAAAACCCCACCACAGACACTAAATCGAACATTAGTATTTTTTGTGTATTAATATTGGACAGCTATGTTCTATTTAAACTCATATTTTAGAGAAAATTTTCTTTTATTTGTCTGCCTTCAGAGTCAGTTATTCTTTGGTAATAAAACATTTACTCTGCTGCCATCCTTAATCTTTCTTGCTCACTGTCTCCCCCTGTTGTTAGGAGAAGAGAACAAAGTGATGCTGCTGGGATTAGGAGTCCTTGGGCCTCTCTGCAAGCTTATTGATCACAGCAATAAACTGATCAAACGCAATGCCCTCATGACCTTGGGTAATATGGCCACCAATGGTAGGTTCTGTGTAGTTCGTCATCTATGAAATAAATGTAGATGAATTTTGAAGGAATCTGTCTTTTGTCAATACCAGTACATTTTTCTGCCCGTCTTGCTAACCTTTGACTAGATCTACATGTTTTAAATGACTGGTTGACTTTGAATGGCTTATTCATTATTTTAACTAAAAGGCGAAGTTAGCGAAGCTCTGAAAAAAGAGGATTTCATTCCATCGCTTTTACAGAAGCTCACACCTGAAGGTGAGTTGTTTTGATCTTCAAATTTAGTCTCCTAATTATTGTGAAAGTGGTCAAAACATTGAAAGTCTGACTTTTAAGTTAGTTGATGTCTTATTTCTTTCTGACATTTTACTACTCTGTCTTTCTTTCTCCAGAGGATGTTTTCGTGCATGAGTTTGCAACACTGTGCCTTGCCGCTGTGGCAATGGATTTCACCTGCAGAGTCCAGATCAACGCCAACGATGGTATGCCACCTCTAATCAAACTCCTCAGCAGCCCGGACCCAGATGTCGCAAAGAACTCATTGGAGATCATCTTCAACCTAGTTCAGGTGACTCAGAGCTATGAGCCTAGAGAAAATTAGAGGACTATGCTGCAGTAAGCCTTTTCATTTGAAAATATGCCAACATTCGTCAGCATTTAAAACACAACTGAACATATGACTGTAAAGTTTTGTGACCCTCTTCTGACCTCTTTGATTTTGATGAATGAAGGACCTCGAGAACCTCGAGGTGCTGCACGAGCTAGGTGCTATCCCCCCTCTTCTGGAGCTGCTTAAGTCCGACTTTCCTGTCATCCAGCATTTAGCCTTACAGATATTTCAGTGTGTCACTACCGATTTGGAAACACGGAAGACCTTCAGGGAGGAGCTGGGATTTGAGAGGTTCCTGGATCTTCTGGATAATATGGTGAGTATAGTAGTTTGCCCAAAGTATTCACACTCATCCAATCTTTTCGTTTTTATCATGTTTCAGCCATACACTTCAACTTATTTTATTTGAATTAGGATTAGGGTTAGACCAACACAAAGCATCACGTTTGTAAAGTAAAAATTATACAAGATTGTCGACATCTACAATTAAAAATCTGAAAAGTGTGGTGTGTATTTGTATTTACCCTCCGATGAATCGATACCTGGAAGTTGCTTTTTGCTGTTCTGCCGGTGGATGTTTTTGGGGTATATCTCTACCACACTTGCATATCTAGAAATGCTTTGCCCAGTCATCTCTTCGAATGCAGGTTTAGTTCAGATTTGGTCTCTCATGAGCAGAGCACTTCTTTCCATATGTGGTGAACTTCGGAGAGAACTTCTTGTGGCTTCCCGTCACCAGTGTTTTGGACTAGACCGGATTTTATTTAGGGATATCTGAGTAAGGAGGGTTAAATACAAAAATGCCTGGTACACTTCTTAGAATTATTATTTGTAAAATGTTTGAAACCCCCCCAAAACATTTTTTTCCACTGTATAATTATGCACAACTTTGTTTTGGCCATCGCAATTCTAATGGAATATATTGTACCTTTCTGATCGGAAAGAGTCAAAGGGTCATGTTGATTGTGTGAAAAATGTACTTTTGAAAACAACGTCTTCATTTTGTCATTTTTATTAATATTATTGCAATAGGATTAAGAAAGACAGATGTAGTAACAACTATCTAGAACTACTATTTGTATGCTATGACACTGACTGCTTATCCCTTACTTTTTCTTTGCTTCCGTCTCTAAAAGGAGTTTAACGACCTACATGCTGAGGCCTTGCAAACAGTGTCAAACTGTCTGGGTGATATTGAGACTCTTCAAATCATCCACCTTAACGGGGGGCTTACGAGGCTGGCGGAGTTTGTCCTTGCACCAAGCAGTCCCGAAATCCAGTCCATTGCAATCAAATGCATCACAAGGGCAGCTCAGAGTTGTAAGAACGTTAAACAATTATGACATAAGGAACATATTTAAGGAAATTTAGAACGCACTCATAGTAGCTGCTGACTTTCTTTGATGTTTGCTCGGATGTTTCTGAATGTAGCCGAAAGCCGCGAAGTTTTCCACGAGCAGATGATCGAGAAAGTTCTAGTAGAGCTTTTGTCTGCGGCCGATGACAATGTGAAAGCTTCCGCCTGTCAGGCTATCGCAGCCATGAGCTTCCACCCTTGCAGCAAAGACCGCTTCAGAGAGTTGGGTATGTAAAAATACACAGACTATAAACAGTCACTGGATCGCAGCAGCAATTACATACTGACTGCAAGGACACCTGAATTTAGTTGGTTTTGTGTGTTTCAGAGGGCGTCCCCATTGTGGTGCAGCTGCTGAGTAGTGAGAGCTCGGTACTGAAAGAGGCAGCGACCCAGGCTCTCTCGAGCCTCACACATAGCAACGAGGCCAATGCGCTGTGAGTGACAAACATCCTGACCACTTTTCCTCCTGCATGTGTTTCAGTAGTGACTTAGAGACATTTACTAAACAAGGATTACGTTTCATGAAGTAAACCACATCCTAATACGCTACCATGCTTAAAAAAAACAAGCAAAAAAAGAAACAAAAAAAAAAAACAGTGGAAATGCAACAATACATAAACAGCATACTGATTAGTGAAACCTTTGAGATTTGATTCCTTTGTACAAACAAGCAAGACAATAAAGATAAACTGCCGTCCGACAACAAAAAGCTTTGCAAAACAAAAAACATACTTTTAATGAAAATTACTAATTGGGCTCAAGAAGATTTATGAAATCCTTGTCGATGTATAGCATTGAAAAGAATGCAAAAATAAAAGAAGACCAAATAATGAGGCAAACGATGAACAAGTTTAAATACTTTTAGAGGGACAGTTTGTTTTTAGGCTAGATACCATTTCTTTCTTTTCATCTTGTTTTTTTTCTGTGAATTTTTATCACATTTCTCCTGAAACCTGTCACCTAGTCAATTATTTTCTTGCTTCTTTTTCCATCATACCCTCATTACTCTTGTTCTCCAGAAAAACTCTGCATCATCCATCATCGCTGGCTCATTAAACACTTCCGTGCTTTACTTCATTTCTCACCTTACTCCCACCTTGAATACATCCAATTCATTGACATCCTTTTCCTGTTTTTGTTCAGATTCTTTGCATGTCTGTACTTGCCAGAATGAGACACATGTCAAATATGCATTAGATAGTCTGTGCTTGCAGGACACCAACATGGAGACTGCAATGTCCGTAACAGTCAGTTAGATTTCATTGTGTGCTGAGCACCCCATCTACTAACATGGTATCTTCCAGTGCAGTGTATGAGGCAGGGGGCCATGAGATCCTCATCCAGCAGCTCTCTGAAAGCTCTGCAAGCACAGTGGCCAGCTCTGCTGCCACTATTTCTAATATGGCAGAACAGGAGATCATCCAGTCCAGCATCCTGACACTAGGAGGCGTACAGGCTCTGGTTGAACCCTTGAAGTCCACAGATACACAGGTCCTGATGTACACTGCCCTGTGTGTGGCACAGCTGGCCTGTGACAACGAAGAAAGGGACAAGGTTTGTCTAATGAATGATCCCAGCTTAGAGTGATGCAAATAATGGGACATTGGTTTGTTTGTTGTTTTTTTATTGTCAAGAAAAAATTACAAGTACCAAAGTAAAATTAATAATATTCCTGCTGCTTTCAACTAACAAAACACCGTGCCCTGCAAAAGTACTCAAACCAACACCCAAGAGGCCAATAGTAACTCTAGAGGAACTGAAGAGACTCAGCTTAGATGGGAGAATTTGTTTACTGGACTATTTTTATGGGGGGAAAAAATCAATAAAGGCCTCAAATGGGGTATTTTAAAAAAAAACATAGCTAGAAGAAAGCAATCACCCAAATAAGGGCTTTTTCATGTGTGCCATAAGCCTTATTGCAGACATACCAAACAAGTGGAAGGTGTTTCGTCCACGTTAAACCAAAATCAAACTTGGCCACCTTGCAGCAGAATGATAGCGACAGAGGAACAAGAGAATGTTTCCATAGTATAAGATAAAATTACTTTTTCCACTAAAATAAGTTCCTAGTGCTGAATAATTAATTTTAAGTTTATTTTTTTCTTATTTTTAAAGTGCATTAAGATATTTGCACAGGAAACTAAACCAAAAATACTTGCTAAGATTTTTGCTTTTGCAGAGAAGGTTGTTCTGCTGAAAGGTGGCCAAGTTCGATTTTGGTGCTGATTTGTTTGGATTGAAGTATCCCAGTCAGAGTCCAGATCTGATGTTCATAGACACTATCCATTCAAAATGGCAATTTCATTCCACAATTATTCCCTACTTTGTATTATTCTCACTCAACAAAATGAACAAAATTTTCATGCTAAAATGTAAGAACATGTGAAACAGTTTAAGGGTGAGAATACTTTTGCAAAGTGCTGCATTTAAACCACATAAATAATTTAAAACAGCAACTCGTTTAGCATATTTTAAAAAAATTCTTTCCCATGATGCCTGAAACTCTACCTCTTGTTTGAAAACAGTTTCACAAAGCTGGAGGCCTCGAACCGCTCGTCAATCTGCTGCATTCCAATGACAAAGAGGTGCTGAGACACGCGTGCTTCGCCGTGAACGTTTGCGCTGGGGATACAGCTTGTGCTGTGACGATGTGCAGACTTGGGTAAAACACAGATATAACATATAGCAATAAAAATTCAACTATAATTCTGAATATTTATGGCTTGAAATTCAGAAAAGGCAAAGCTTTGTTTAGTTACAACATGCTGAAGCTGGGCATAATGTCTTAATTGTAGTTTTTCAACCAGCCAGCAGGTGGTGGCATGGTACAATATACTGGGTCTTTTAATATGGAAAACTATTGTTCGTATGTGTACTGAACATGTTTTCCCTCATGATTATTTGTCTCAGGGCCCTGGAAATACTTCAGGAAATCAACCAGTCAGCAAACCGTAGGAGCAGTTTCAGCGAGTTGGCCACGACCAGCCTGCTTAACTCCAACTTGCCTGTTAAATACAACCGGCTGGGACGATTGACTGCAAATGACATTATTACAAGCAACTTCTTTGATGCTGGGCAGGTTTGTTTACTAAAATGTGGAGGTCCTGAGTGACAATGAAGAACAACGTCAACAGGGAACAAGACAAATCATCTTGTTCAATGCCAATACCTGCTTGTGACCAAAAACACAAATAACATCAATTGACACCAAGTTGCCTGGGCTAAAACTTGGTTTATTCAACCAGCTGTTTCCCTGGAGTTCTCAAGGACAGTTACTCAGGTTGTCTTCGTCTGATGTTATAATCTTTTTGATGATCTGAAATATTTAGTATTGACAAAAACACAAAAAAGGCAAAAACACTTTTTTACAGGGGTGCACACTTGAAAATGATAATACTAGATCATTTTTTTTCCCCACTTGGCTCTCTGAACAACAACCAAAATATTAGTCAGATATTATTTGTTATTGTCATTTCTTTTTTTCTTTTTTTTGCCGTCTTTAACAAAGAACAAAGTACTACCTTATCACCCTTTGATGTATTTCTCTCTGTTTCATACAGGCTTGTGTGGGTGAGCCGTTTCTGACTTTGGAGGAGTTGATCAGCCAGCCACTCAACCAGCAGCGGGCGATTATTGTTTTCAACGTCCCAGTAGAGTATGAATCTTGAAAAATGCTATAATTTTGTCACTTAATAGATTCCAGTTTTGCATTGTAGAATCTTGTCAAAACAGAGACGTGCAAAAACTCTTGGATCAAAGACTGTGTTGTGGTAAATGTATGGAGCTGAACCCAGTCAGACTATTTCGTAGAATCATTTGTTTATTACAAAAAAAAAATAACAAGTTTAAGAATTAATTTGGAATTAGCTACAAAGCTATTCATATCTCATTATTGTTTCTGAGGTCACCCACCCTCCCCCTGGCTGCGCCAATCCTATGCTCCACTTTCCCTAGGTTTTTGTTTCTTTTTTTTCTTCTCCCCTCTTGCCTTCAGTGTGCCCCATCATTGTGGACTCACTGGGTAAATGATCCCCCTTTTAAGATGCCAAACACTCAGAGCTATTTTGTGTAGACCAAGGAACTTACACACATAATTATGAACACACACTGAAGGTGTGTTGTATTCATCTAACCTACAAACATTCAGTGTAGGATTCCAGAAATCACACTTTATGTGTTGCAAATATTCTACCTCATTTACTAAACACTCTACATGTAAGAACCCAGTAACACATTGTGCAATAAAAAACTGCGCTCAAGGCACCTCACATTCACTTCTTCTCTTTCCTAGAATGCAAAAGAAAAAAAAAACACCACATTCATTCCTAAGCAGCCTGTTGTGTAATCCAAGCTTAGGTTTGTCCAACTCAAGTTAAACTTAGCATACATCCCGCTGCAGCTCGGTTGGATTTTTGGCTTCTGCTTCATTCTCGTTAGAAATGCAGTGCGTGGTTAAAGCACAAACATTCTGTGTTTTCAAAAGCTTTTTGGATCGGTTTCTTTGGGACACAGTCACAGTAGCACCCAGCACAAATAGTGGCCTCTCTGGTAACTACTTGTGGAAAGCATTCAGATAAATGTGTATCTTTCATCGCAGTAATTTTACACAAAAGGGAAACTCTCATCTGGTAAGAAAAATCAGTTTGATTTATAATTGTTTTGGAAAAAAAGAAAAGAAAAAAAAAGATTGGTGCCACAACCACTGTTCCTGTAACAATACTTGACATGCAACTGAGTCTTTGGGTCTAAGGTTTTATTTTCTGTTTCCTGAAGGAAACTGAAATTTCAGATTAAATTACATAGTTTAAATGAAAAAAAGTTGTATTTCTAAAACATGTGGAGTTAAAATGTAAGCTTATGCACTGAAAAAGGATGAAAAACACCATTGAATTATAGGAAAGGGAACACCATCACTTGTCACTGTAATACTCATTTTGTAAGTATAAGCTTTTAGGAATGTGGTTGTTTTTTAATTCAATCAATTTTTGTTTTTTTAGTTTTACTTTTACTAGTGTTTTAACTAAAACTCAAATAAAAGAACAACTTTGAGAAATACAAATAAGATTTGCAACATAGAGCAACAGTGACATGTGGTGAGGTTCATTGCTGGTGAGGCACTGACTTAAGACTTATATGTATATATACATA